CCCAGCTATTTTTTGGTTGCAGCCATTATTGTTGTTTGGCGGTCCGGGCTGGATTCGAACCTGCCACCTTAGGTGTATGTGGCTGGCGTCTTAGCTGGTTGAGCTACAGGCGCCGAGCCGATAAGTAAGTTTTTTAAAGGCCATGCCACAGGAGAAATTGGACACCACCTTGACTGAGAAATTAAAATTACCATCATCAGCGACGGGCAGATGGACATTGCATGTCTCTGGATGTGATACTCAAGAAGGACAAATTATAGTTGTCCTCAGATACTGAAGTCTTTGATATAAAATGATGTACTATTCCTATATACCCTATGCATGTCCTCCTGTCCACTTTAAACCATCTCTAGATTTATTTTACCTAATATAATAGAATTTATTATACCTAATAAATGTAAGTGCTATGTAAGCAGTTGTTACATTGTATTATTTTTATTTGTATATTTGATTGTTGTAGTCTTACTTCTTATTGTTTTGTGTTTTTTTTTTCCCTGAATACTTTCAATCTAGTTGGTTGAATCCAAGGATGTGGAACCTGCGGGCATGAAAAATATGTGTGTGTTTGTGTGCAGGGCCGACTGTATTTACAACTGACTGGAGAGGCTCAGCGCCTATAGCTCAGTGGCCAGGCTGCCAGCCACATACACCGAGGCTGGTAGGTTCGAACCCAGCCCAGGCCTGCCAAACAATAATGACAACTACAACAAAAAAAATAGCCAGGCGTTGTGGCAGGCGCCTGTAGTCAGGCGCCTTGGCTACTTGGGAGGCTAAGGCTATTCTCTTAAGAGAATAGCTTAAGTCCAAGAGTTTGAAGTTGCTGTGACCTGTGACGCCATGGCACTGTACCAAGGGCGGCATAATGAGACTCTGTCTCAGAAAAAAAATAAAAAGAACTGACTAGAGATATACAATGTGAACCTCATCATGAGAAAACATTAGACAAACCCAAAATGAGGAACATTTTATCTTTACGAAGTAAGGAGAATTATTTTAAAATGTTAATGTAAGGAAAGACAAATAAGAGTGCAATACAATTCTGCATTAAAGAAGATTAAAGAGGCTCAGCGCCTATAGCTCAAGCGGCTAGGGTGTCAGCCACATATACCAAGGCTGGTGGGTTCAAACCCAGCCTGGGCCTGCCAAACAACGACAACTACAACCAAAAAATGGCCAGGCGTTGTGCTGGGCGCCTGTGGTCCCAGCTACTTGGGAGGCGGAGGCAAGAGAATAATTGCTTAAGCCCAGGAGTTGGAGGTTGCTGTGAGCTGTGATGCCACAGCACTCTACCCAGGGGGACAGCTTGAAGCTCTGTCTCAAAAAAAAAGAAGATTAAAGAGTCGTGACAACTAGATGCGGCATGTGATCCTGGACTGGAGAAGGAAACAGTGCCCTACATAACATTTCTGAGTTAGATGATGCAATGAAAATACAGAGGAGTACCTGAAAGTATTAAATCGATGTTAAATTGACTGACGTTGGTAAGTGTATTATAGCTATGTAAGAGAAGGTTCATGTTCTTTGAAAATGCACACTAAGTTACTTAGGGGTGCAGGAACATGAGATATGCAACTTACTCTCAAGTGACTGAAAAATACGTGTGCTTGTGCTCAGGGAGAACAGAACACAGCAAATGTCAACATTAGGTGAATCTGGGCAAATGTAAGGATTCTTTGGATCATTCTCGCAACTTTCTGTAAGTTTTACATTTATTTTTAAATAAAAAGTTGTTTTTCTTTTGAGACATAGTCTCACTCTGTCACCCTTGATAGAGTGCCATGACATCATAGCTCACAGCAACCTCAAACTCTTGGGCTCAAGTGATCCTCTTGCCTCAGCCTCCTGAGTAGCTGGGACTACAGCCATCCACCACAATGCTCGGTTATTTTTAGAGTCGGCGTTTCACTCTTGCTCAGGCTGATTTTGAACTCCTGAGCCTAAGCAATCCACCCACAATGACCTCCCAGAATGCTAGGTGTACAGGCATGAGCCTTAATAAAAAGTTTTTTTAAATCCACAACCACAAAACCATATACTATATGGTTTTGCATCTTTTTTGCAAAAAGATATAAGAACCTTGTGCATGTACAATGTAACTCAACAATGTTGGGTAGGAAGAGGAGGAAGAAAGTCTCTCTGGGAAGCACTAAAAGGAGGAACACCTCCCCCTGCCCTCCCCCCCGCCCACCATCATAGGACAAGAATTAAGTGTGACTGAGTCCACACCTACCTGGAGCTGTGTGGCGTAGTGCCCCAGCTTGATCTTCAGTAAAAACCCATCTTCCCCCACCTGGTGCTCTGCCTTCTTCTGCAGCTCCTGCACCAGGCCCTCCAGGAGCTGAGTGGCCTTAATGTTCTCCTGTGGATTATCAAGATCTATTGAGTCCCTAGGGGAAAAAAATTACACAATCTGTATATATATATATATATATATATATGCACATTAGCCTGTATAAATGCAGCCTCAACGCATCAGACTTTTGCTTTGACTAAAGATTTCTTTTTTTGAGACAGAGCCTCAAGCTGTCACCCTGGGTAGAGTGCTGTGGCATCACAGCTCACAGCAACCTCCAACTCCTGGGCTTAAGTGATTCTCTTGCCTCAGCCTCCCAAGTAGCTGGGACCACAGGTGTCTGTCACAACGCCTAGCTATTTTTTGGTTGCAGTTGTTGTTTGGCAGGCCCAGGCTGGATTCGAACCTACCAGCTCTAGTATATGAGGCTGGCGCCTTAGCCACTTTAGCTACAGGTACCAAACCTAAAGCTTTCTTCTTAATACTCAATGCAAATTTTAAGAAACAGCCCAGCATAAAATAGACTAAATGCTTACATCAATCTAGCGATAATCTACTAATTATCTTAATTGGATTGTACAGGATGTTTTCATTTCTTTCCCTCCCTCCCTTCCTTCCTTTCTTCCTTTTTTTTTGTTTCAAAACAACACGATGCCCTTTCTCCTTCCTCCTACTGATTTCCTCTGATGCTTATCCAATCTGCTCCTAGAACTGAGAGGAAAAGGACAATACTTTGCATACTCTGAAGGAAGTAAGGACTCAGGTAATTTCCTATTTATTTAATTTCCTATTTACACCTCTCAAACGTGTAAAGGGGGCGCAAGGTCAAGATCATTCTATGTGTCCTTTCCAGCTTCAGTAAGTTTGAGATCCCTGTCACTCCTTTCACATCAAGTAGTTCTTAAGCAGAGGCAGGTGAAATATGTTATTGCTCTGCCCTGGAAGTGAGATGCTAAGGCAGAAGGTACCTACAAGAATGTATACAAGGCAGACCTTGATATCACTAGTTGCAGATATGGGACCGATAGGGCACTGCTAACTTTTGCAGTGAACAAGACAAACCACCCTACGGACTCTGTATTAATTCACAGTCATTTGACTGGTGACAGGGATGGGATAGTCTTCATCCCTTCTTTCTTTCCTTCTTTTCTACAACATAGGTAACAACTGCCACTGGGCAGTGCTACATGACTTAGCTCACTGAAGAAACGAAATAGCTGTCAGACTGAACTAACATTTAGTTACTGCTGACTAGGTCTGGAGCCAAACAAGATAGTGGTCACTAAATGGCGCTATCATCCCTAAATCCCTAAAGTTAGTTAGCAACTGATTTCTTTTCTTTTCTTTTTTTTTTTTTTTGAGACAGAGCCTCAAGCTATGGCATCACAGCTCACAGCAACCTCCAACTCCTGGGCTCAAGCGAGTCTCCTGCTCCAGCCTCCCAAGTAGCTGGGACTACAGGCGCCCACCACAACCCCGGCTATTTTTTGGTTGCAGCCATCATTGTTGTTTGGCAGGTCTGGGCTGGATTTGACCCCGCCACCTTAGGTGTATGTGGCTGGTGCCTTAGCCACTTGAGCCACAGGTGCCGAGCCAGCAACTGATTTCAAACAGAGGCACAAATAGGTGTACCAAAACATTGAAACTATACCTCATTAAATAGAACACCCAGTGCTGCACTTTGAGAAGGCAGTAAAGAAAGTCAAATTTTAAATGCATATGCTCTATGTATTAAGTAAAATAAATATTAAATAAAAGGCCGGAAGACTGAGGGGTAGCCCGGCACCTCTGTTCTGACTGCCAATAGTGTTCCTGCTCTGGGGCACCTCATCTGCAGAGAGTCCAGTATCTGAGCAAAATTAAGAGAAGTACTGGTTCTTTACTTGAAACCTTAACTCTTTGTTAAAAAAACAGAAAAAGACAGAGTTGAGGCAGGAAGATGACTTAAGCCCAGGAGTTCAAGACCAACCTGAGCAACATGGTGAGATCTCGTCTCTACAAAAAGTAGAAAAATTAGCTGGGTGTGTGGGAGGTGCACATCTGTAGTCCCAGCTACTCAGGAGGCTGAGACAGGAGGATCTTGTGAGCCCAGAAGATCAAGATTACGGTGAGGTGTGCACAAAGAATAAGATATTTTTTATTAAAATCTTTATATTCTAAGAAAACCAAAATTAAATCTAGGTTTTCCTTAGTAACAACACAACTCCGTTAACAACTCAGTAAGATGACTACGTGGGAAATCTGCTAAGTGACATTTTAAACGAACTACTCATGTTTTTCTAAAGTCTCTACATCATTAGAACAGAAAAGAAAATGAAACGGGAGTGGAAAAGCACTAAACGAGGTGCAGCTGACATTCTCATGTTGCGCTCAGTTTTTTCCTCACTTAATTACATGAAGCTGAGATTTTTTTAATTGCCTAGAAAATTGCCTTCCTTTGGTGCTCTCTGGTTTCTGAACAGAAATCTGCCACTAACACGAAATTGCAATTATTCCAAGGGAACATCACAGTCAGCTCTCCGGCCATCTTCAAATAGTCGCACCAAGGCTGGCTTCTCCCAGGGGCTGTTAAAGAGGACCCCTGCCCACAGTGGTAGAGGGTTGAAGTATCTGTGTCAAATGCACTGGCAGGCTGTCACCAACTCACAAGCTCTCAGCCCAGAACAGTGTACAGCCTGCTGCCTGGTGTGCAGGGCATTCTACTAATTCTAAAAGAATCTTACAACAATTCCTCCCTCCCCTAGAGGGTCATAAGTAATTGAGAAAATAAGGGAAAATTACAATGCCTGTTAAATCTACCATCAAAATGTAAATTTTGTTAATATTTTAGTGTATTTTCTTTTAGTCTTTATGTGTCTATGTAACACATAAACTAAAAGAAATCAACATCTCTGCTGTTAAATGATTTGTTAAATATTTAGTTATAAATTCATTAATTTAATAAATGTGAAATAACATATACTTAGTAAATCCCAATAAAATTATATGCATATCTTATCTGCCCCACTAAACACTAAATTCTCTCTTTTTTTTTTTCTTTTAAGAGACAGAGTCCTGGAATTCCCTGGCTCAAGGGATCCTATCACCTTAGTCTCCTAAGTAGCCGGGACTACAGGTATGTGCCACCATGCCAAGTGAAATAGTGAAATAATTCTTTGCACACAAGGGCTTTAATTTTTTTCATTATAAACTCTGCTGTGTGTGACACTGCTTGGTACCCTATAGGCATTCAAAGGATATTTAGTGACTGATCTTTATTAATGGCAATATTCTAATGCTTTTAGCTAGTATTTACTGTTTTTTTTTCTTTTAAATAGGAGACAAAGTTTCACTCTGTCAAGCTGGAGTACAGTGACCTGATCACAGCTCACTGTGACTTTAAATTCTTGGGCTCAAGCAATCCTCCCACCTCAGCCTCCTGAGTACCTGGGACTAGAGGTATGGGCCACAATACCCAGTTAATTTTTTATGGAGACAAGGGCTTGCTGTGTTATCTAGGCTGGTCTTGAACTCCTGGCCTCAAGCAATCCGGCCTCTGCCTCCCAGAGGGCTGCAATTACCAGCACATGCCATCATTCCTAACCAGTACTTTTTATGTACATGATAAAAGGAAGAAGTCTTGGCCAGGCACAGTGGCTCACACCTGTGATCCTAGCATTCTGGGAGGTGGGAGAATCATTGGAGCTCAGGAGTTGGAGACTAGCCTAAGAGTAAGACCCTGTCTCTTCAAAAAACAGAAAAAAAAAAAAATTATCCAGGCAAGATGGCATGCCCATTTAGTCCCACCTATTTGGGAGGCTGAAGCAGAAAAGTAACTTGAGCCCAGGAGTCTGATGTCACAGTGAGTTATGATGACAGCATTGCACTCTAGCCTGGGTGACAGAATGAGACTCTCAAAACAAAAAGGAGGCTCAGCGCCTGTGGCTCAAGCAGCTAAGGCGCCAGCCACATATACCTAAGGTGGCGGGGCGGGTTCGAATCCCCAGCCCGGGCCCACCAAACAACAATGATGGCTGCAACCAAAAAATGGCCGGGTGTTGTGGTGGGCGCCTGTAGTCCCAGCTACTTGGGAGGCTGAGGCAGGAGACTCGCTTGAGCCCAGGAGTTGGAGGTTGCTGCGAGCGTGATGCCATGGCACTCTACCCAGGGGGATAGCTTGAGGCTCCGTCTTAAAAAAAAAAAAAAGAGAGGAAGAGGAGAAGGGAAAGAAGGGGAAGGGGAACAGATCCTTCTTTAAAAATCCCAGGAGTTATTTCATCTTCCTAAATTTAAGATGGAGTCAAGTGAATAACATAAAATTTATTTCAGGCTGTGCACAGTGGCTCACACCTGTAATCCTACTAGTACTCTGGGAGGCTGAGGCAGAAGGATAGCTTGAGTTCAGTAGTTTGAGACCAGCCTTAGCAACAGCAATACCCTGTCTCTACTAAAAATAGAAAAATTAGCCAGATGTGGTGGTGGGCGCCTGTAGTCCCAGCTACTGGGGATGATGAGGCAGGAGGATCATTTGAGCTCAGGGGTTTAAAGTTACTGTGAGCTGGGCAATGCCATAGCGCCCTGGCCTAGGCAACAGAGTGAGACTCTATCTCAAACGGAAAAAAAGTTTTAAAACATAATCTTTTAAAATAGCTTTGTAATCATGATAGCTTTGTAATCAAAGTTCAATATTCTTCTGCTTCACAAAATGATGCAAAAATCTTTGTTCACCTACCAAGCTTGGCTTTCAATCCACTGGGATAAATAATGCCGCACCTCAATGGGGAAGTGCTGGCCATACAACGCCTGCATCTGATGAAGGGCTTCTCCTTGGAGCTGCTGGGCTTGTATCCACACGGCCATGGTTTATAACCTGGTAAACAAATCATCAGTGGTTTGGTTAGTCTTTTTTCTGTACTCCCCTTTCAAGCCTACTAAATATTCACGTACTTATAAAATTGAATGTTTTTAGCCTTTTGTAAACTGAAGATAAATTTTTTTTGAGACAGTCTCACTCTGTCGCCCTGGGTAGAGTGCAGTGTCATCATAGCTCACAGCAACCTCCAACTCTTGGGCTCAAGTGATCCTCTTGCCTCAGCCTCATGAGTAGCTGGGACTACAGGTGGCAGCCACAACCCCTGGCTATAAAAATAGTATTCTTGAACTGGATTTTAGCTTTTAAATGTTTTTAGCATGGCCATGGAAAAGTACACAACTGGGTCTATGAAGCTCTGACTATAAAATATACTGAGCAAAACAAAAATACAAAATCAGCATTAGAGAAAGAAGTGCTATTAACTTCAATGTCATAGACATATATTGTTTACTTTTGTTCAAAATTCTTGGCAGTGGTAAGCAGCATTTTAACAATAATAAATAATTAGCAGAGAGACTTTAAGAAATCACTGGATTTATATTTGATATTTTGACTTTAAGAAATGTACTAAAGGTTCGGCATCCTTAGCACAGCGGTTATGGCACCAGCCACATGCACTGAGGCTGGTGGGTTCAAACCCAGCCTGGGCCTGCTAAACAATGACAACTGCAACAACAACAAAAAAATAGTTGGGCGCTGTGGCGGGTGCTCCCTGCTACTTGGGAGGATAAGGCAAAAAGAATTGCTTAAGCCCAGTAAAAGAGAAAATATCTAAAGCATGGATTGAACTCTATGTATTATCACGAGTTACTGAAGCAGCAATGCTTTGTGCCCAAAGAGTACAGATTTATCTGGAAAAAGTGTCCCAAGGTTCATCCTCTGAGTTACCCATAAGGAATTTTTGAAGCAATATTCTGTTACAGCACTCAAAACTCTTTCAGACACAAAAACAATACATTCCAACTAAGAGTCAGAAACAGAAACCACTATACTCCAATAGAGGGTAGATTTTTAAAACACACTCTTGATATTCAGAAAAAGTTTTATAAAACTACCATGATGTTGTCTCAGATCCACCTGACAATTTTTAACTCATTTGGCAGAGACTCTGGGATCACCAGATCGGGACAGAAACATGACTTCATGCAACTGTGGGGACTAAAACTGAACCTTGCTCTAACACATTTTTCCACAAAGTGGAATTTGGTAAGAAGGCAGGGTTGTCTTGAATTCCATTCAAAATGATTTGTACAATTCTCCTAAGAACTAGGTTGCCATTAGGGTCCAGGGAATTGGACTTGGATTTTGTTTACTGCCAGGGAACTGCACATGTGTGTTAGGAAACAAAAATCCCTTCCCTGATAGTTGTAGTTGTCTGATCATGTAACACTGAGCTATTTATGGAACAAGTCAGTTAGCCAACAATGAGGTGTATGGGTGTGGAGGGGGAGGTGCCAGTTACCTATTTTAGACTTGTGCAATGCTATGGAACACTTGAGCGGTGTACAACTTTATTTAGGGCTTTTAGGTATGAAGGCTAGGATCACTGTGAGATCACCCAAGACCTCAAATTTCAATGTTGACTGTGAGTTCAACAGAAGAAAGTCTTGGATAAAAGAGCTCTCTTCCGAAGCAATCCTACTCTATTATCAAACATCTGGAAGGCATTTAATTGCACAATATAATTTTAATCAAATGAATCATATCCCAAGACTTTGGAAAATCAGAACAGATATTAAATCACGATTTTTGGATGAAGAGTAAAGACCTGGGTGGATGAAGGTGCTTAGGCACTAAGGGATGTAGAGCTCCGGCATTAATCTTTCCTAGTGGTAAAGACTAAGACGCAGGGCCCCACCAGAGCTCTCTTAATGAACACGTACACAATACAACAGAAACATTTTCATGCATATCTATTCATTAGCTGAATTAACCCCAAAGAAAGAAAACTGTGGGAAAATATTCATCTCCTCAGAGATTCCTTCTCAGTTCACCCAAATAAAATTGCATTCTGGTCACTCTCTAACCTCTGAATCTGCTTTATTTTTTTTCCTTAACATTTATCATTTCCTAACATTTATCTCATATATATATATATATATATATATATATTTTTTTTTTTTTTGAGACAAGAGTCTCACCGTCACCCATGCTACAACAGTGGTGCAATCACAGCTCACTGAAGTCTTGAACTCCTATTCTCAAAAGAAACCTTCCCGTTTCAGCTTCTTGAGTAGCTAGGACTACAGCTGCATGTCACTGGCTGATTCTTTTGCAGAGATAGGGTGTTATGTTACCCAGGTTGGTCTTAAACTTCCTGGCTTCAAACAGTCCTCATGACTTGGCCTCCCGAAGTGCTGGGATTATAGGCATGAGCCACCACACTTGTCCTAAAATTTTAGCTGTTTGTTTGTTTTTTGCAAATTTTGGCCAGGGATGGGTTTGAACCTGCCACCTCCGGCATATGGGATCAGTGCCCTACTCCTTTGAGCCACAGGCGCTGCCCTAAAATTTTAAATACTAGGTTGGAAGGCGGAGTGCAGTGGCTCTTGCCTATAGTTCCAGCATTTGAGAGGCCCAGGTTGGTGGACTGCCTGAACTCAGGAGTTGAAGATCACCCAAGAGCAAGAGTGAGACCCAGTTTCTTTTTTTTTGAGACAGAGCCTCAAGCTGTCCCCCTCTGTAGAGTGATATGGCATCACAGCTCACAGCAACCTCCAACTCCTGGGCTCAAGCGAGTCTCCTGTCTCTGCCTCCCAAGTAGCTGGGACTACAGGCGCCAGCCACAATGCCCAGCTATTTTTTGGTTGCAGCCGCCATTGTTGTTTGGCGGGTCCAGGCTAGATTCAAACCCGCCACCTTAGGTGTATGTGGCTGGAGCCCTAGCCACCTGAGCCACAGGCGCCAAGCCAGAGACCCAGTTTCTAAAAAAAAAAACATAGCTGGGCTCTGTGGTGGGTGCCTATAGTCTCAGCTTCTTGGGAGGCTAAAGTAAGAGGATCACTCCAGCCCAAGAGTTTGAGGTTGCTGTGAGCTGTGATGCCATAGCACTCTACCAAGGGCAACAAAGTAAGACTCTGTCTCAAAAAACAATAAATAAAATAAAATAAAATAAAAATTTAAATACTAGGTTGAGAAAAAACACAACTCCCCCTCCCCAATTATATGAATAAAACTAAAATCTAAGTAATGTTTTTCTTCATACATGTCAAAACTCTTCACCCAATTATTCGGTTACGTCCATACCTGGAGTAAGCTGATCCTCTGTCCTGACTCACTAGCATTCATCCGGCCATCAAATGCTACTCTACATCTGCAGAGGCTGCACCTCTGTCCCTGAATACATCCCCTTCTGCTTATTTACCGGCAGCCCCATCTTCAATTCATGATGCTCTGAAAGGGAAGTGGTTTGTATCTTTGGTAAATCATCACAGGGGATTCTCTGAAGACTGGGAAATGGATTCACAATCTTATTTTTAGGCCAAACATGAGAACTGTTTGAGCTCAGCTTAGTTGCACTCTTAGTGTTCACAAGTATTCCAAGACAACCTATAACAGCCTTGGATACAGAATATTCTATTTTCTGAAAGCATACGGTATCTACCTTGTCCTTACATATCTGGATGTATCCAAGAGCTAGGAATGTCAAATAAATTGGGCCCCAGGCACTTGTTAATAAAAGTTATGAAGTCTAACAGTCCACAATGCTTTATGCTTACTGAAAACCACAAAAATGAATGTTTACTACATAAATAAGTACACTGGTTTTTTTTTAGTACATTAGATTTAAGGATAATTTTGCATCAGTAATACTTTATCATATGCTTTCCCTTTCTTAAAGTAAAATATGAACTTTTGTGAACAAAAACATTACTCTCTCTGAAGACTTCTAGAATACTGTAGCCAAGGTCTTTTTTTTTTTTTTTTTTTTTTTTTTTGAGACAGAGCCTTAAGCTGTCACCCTGGGTAGAGTGCTGTGGCATCACAGCTCATAGCAACCTCCAACTCCTGGGCTCAAGCGAGTCTCCTGCCTCAGTCTCCCAAGTAGCTGGGACCACAGGTGCCCACCACAACGCCCGGCTATTTTTTTGGTTGCAGCCCTCATTATTGTTTGGCAGCCCGGGCTGGATTCGAACCCACCACTTTAGGTGTATGTGGTTGGCGCCTTAGCCACTTGAGCCACAGGCGCCGAGCCCCAAGGTCTTGACATAGCTATAGTGTGAGGGAAGGAACATACAGAGTGTCTGAAATTAGCAGGCTCAATATATGTCAACTAAGTGAATAAAATCTTGCATGGTGTGGGAGGGTTTAAATCTATGTAAAGACTTGGTTTGATGGGTTCATGTGTGTAATTTAAACATTCTATAATTTCTATTCATCATCTCATTACCCCCATCCCAGGGGAAAGTCTCTAAAATGGGGTTAAAATTTCAGAGAGGCTCGGCACCCATAACACAGTGGCTATGGCACTGGCCATATACACCGAGGCTGATGGGTATGAACCCAGACTGGGCCAGCTAAGCAACAAGGACAACTGCAACAGAAAAATAGCTGGGTATTGTGATGGGCACCTGTAGTCCCAGCTACTTGGGAGGCTGAGGCAGGAGAATCATTTAAGCTCAAGAGATTGAGATTACTGTCTGAGCTGTGATGCCATGGAACTCTACCTAGGGTGACATAGTGAGACTGTCTCAAAAAGAAAAAAAATTTTTTTTTAGAGATAAGGGGCTCATGCCTGCAATCCTAGTACTCTGGGAGGCCAAGGCAGGTAGACTGCTTGATCTCAGGAGTTCAAGACCAGTCTGAGCAAGGGTAAGACCTCGTCTCTACTATAGATAGAAAAACTAACCAGGCTTGTGGCCAGTGCCTATATTCTCAACTACTCAGGAAGCTGAGACAAGAGGATCACTTGAGCCTAAGAGTTTGAGGTTGCTGTGAGCTATGATGCCACAGCACTCTACTAGGGCAACTAAGTGACACTCTGTCTCAAAAAAAAG